CAGTGAGGTTCGCTTCTGAATAGTAGGCATAGGATTGCGTTATATGATAATTTCCTCTTTGCAAACTGTTTTTAGGAGCCAGCTTCAGCTGACAACACATGAGGACACGGTCGTCTACCAACCACATCATATTCTTCCAAAATGACTCAGCTGTGTCTGCTTTATGGATCTGACAATCCCCTTGCCCTCCTCTTTAGCCAGATGCTGCTGTGAATTAATAAAAACAAAAAAAAATCTAGGTTTCAAAATCAGTTGGATGTAATAAAGCATAAATCTCACTTGAGCTTCCAAGTTGCTTTACAAAAAGAAATTGGTGTATTATTATAGTGCTGAAAAACAGCTTGCTGTTAAAAGTGGGGGCTGGCCAAAAGAACAGAGACTTCTCAAGCTACAAAGTAGAGCTGCAAAGGCTGTTGGGTTTTTTTTTCTTTTTTTACAAAATGCAAGATGGTGAACCATGTGATATAAATGGATTGTAAAGCTCATCCCACATCAACTGTGATTTTAAGAATTTGTCTTTTGGACCACAGGACAGAATCTAGAGGACTTGCAACTGACTTTAGAGTGCAATGAAAACCACAAGTAAGAGTTGAATTGCAGAGCTATTTTTAATTATATTTGTGTCCCAGAAGGTTTCTAAGCATGAAATCATATGTCATCTATCTCCCACCCTATATTTATCATTTTAACAGCCCTGTAAAGTAGGCCAGCCCAATGAAATTCAGGACAGGGAAAGAAATTGTTCTGATTTCAATCACTGTATCAAAACACAATACCAGTTTATTATATTTTCATATTTAATTAAAAGTATATGTGATTTGTGAATATCTCCACTCTATTCTGCATGGGTCAGACAACATTTTGAATACTCTGTCTAGTTCTGGGCATTGTACTCTAAAAGGAACCAAACCAACTGTCACAGATTCCAAGATGGGCAGTGAGGATGATCAGAAGACTAGCAGCTAAGAAGAAAGACCAAGAAAACTGGGTCAGTTAAACCCTGATAAAAGAAGGAAAACAATGGGATATGAAGGTAAACTTCCAACAAAATGGCTCTGTTGTTTATAATCCCAGAATGTAGGATACGTCAGCCGAATGCCATGTGAACATTAGTTAAAGGATCCTAACAGAATGAGCAATGCAACAGCACAACCAATGACCTGGAAAAGCAATGGATCCCAATTTGCTAGATGCGTCCAAGCAGAGGGCAGACAGCCACCATTTCTGGATTCTCTAATTTGCCAAGTCAGGAAGATACTGTACACATTCTGTTAGCCAAAGGGGCCAAGTCCACACCTATTCTGGGAAGGGACTATCCCCGCCCTAAATGGTCCCTTCCAACTTGATGATTTCATTATTTTTTCAACTCTAGTCAGCATCCACATTTTAGACCTTTACAAAGTATCACTATACCAAACTTCTCTAATTGTGATTGAAATCATTCAGGTTTCCTTGTTCTAAAATATAGATTAGAAGCATCACAAACTTACACTAGACGGTTGCAAGGCTTGAGAAAAGTCCATCTCCTTTCCTCCCAATTCCCCCCATCAAAATGTTACAGGACCATTAAGGCTCCATTTTTACTTCTTAACAATACTAATCACACAGACAACAATGGCTTGTAGACAAAGCTAACACAGCGAAGAAACTCGTTCTCCTTTGTCTGGCCTGGCTTCTTGTGAGTTGGAGGGCAAAACAAAAATAAATTAAATCGATCCCAAAGGCAAAGCACCTGAGGTTGTTCCTATTAGAAGATGAATGCAGGTGGCTAATCTTTCAAGAACTGAATACAGGAGCACCTTCATCACTTGACATAGGATGCAGGAGGTTACGCAGCTACAGAGGTACCTGTGAAACTGCAGTAGAAAATCATAGCACTTTTTAAACCAGCTAGCTCAAAGTGGTTTGGTTTGGACTTAGCAGATATGTGAACCCAGCAAAGTTAAGATTTATTTGTAACCCATGGTTAAGCAAAGTGCAAACCAGGTCTATACTGGGCCATGCACACTTGAACCATAGCAATTAAAATGATTTTATGGTGGTCTCAAAGAGAACTGTGGCATTTTCATCTGACGTCTTTAGGGCTCAAGACAAGATTTAAGATGCAATCCCCTTTGAACTAGTCCAGGACTAGTCATGGGTGTTAGAGTTTCCCATCTGGGTAGGATCGTAAGACTCAGTTCTGGGTTAATCTCAGTTCCATTGCTTTCTATTGGTTGCAAGGTTGTAGCTAAAGTGATGGATTAGTGACATCCCATGGAAAATAAAAAGGGTGGGGATAATCCGGAGGTTAAGCTAGCCCTGATATGGGTTCAGCAGAAGATGTAAATGCCTGCCCCGCCCCCCAGAGGTCTCGTTGGCTTTTGTACAGGCTACCAACGAAGTTGGCCAAAGGTCTTATCAAGCCACTGGGAAAGTGTTTGGCCAAATCAGAGGTGGAGATATTCTTCAATGCTAAATGTATCGGAACAGATGGGGGGAAAACCAAAACTGCTAAAATGTCACAAGTCAAAGAGAAAGCTAAGTGAGTTATCCCAGGATCTGGAAACCTGGCTTTGGTACCCTGTGCACCAGCTTTTCCTTCTCTGCAGAAAGTGAACCCATTAAGAAAAGAATAAGCGTAAATTATGTAAATTTTTAAAAAATGTGCTTGTTTAATTTGTGTGCTGTATGCAAGCCCCAGGATGTTAATGTTTATTCTAACTCCTAATTTACAGCCGTTCTCCCAACTGACAGATGCTGTCACACTTCCTCCAACCTTGGTACAATTCGGCTTTGTTGATGATGCAAGAAGCAGGATGCTGTATTGTTGGGGGTGAAGTATAATGGATAATCTCCTCCCTCAAATGGAACTGGCAACAGGGATGTGAGATTGGTCAGGAGTGCAATCCAGTCCAGTGATTTGCCAACTATGCCTATTTATTTTAGGTAGTCTGGCCTCCTTGTGTATCAGCTTATTAGCAGCAGACGCTATTCCTTTCACATCATTTTAACTTAATCTACTCCACATTCAAATCCCATTGGAGAAGGGAGGGAGAGAAGCAGTTTGCAAATTGCTGTTGAGTTAGCAACTAAAGTCCGCTCCACTTGAAGAGAAGCGTTGGGCGGTATCCAACAACAGTACAGATTATGCCAACAGAAAGTCAGAAGTTCAAATATGTACATTTGCTTTCAGGGTTATCAGTTTTGTAATGTGCTCCAAGCTGCCTAGGCCAAGTTTCTCATGATTTTTTTTTTAATCCCTCCAAAACCACAAGACTTATATGTCCATCCAACGTACTAAAATTATTTTTATAGGTCTACCTTATTATGTAATATCTGTACATGTATGACCCCACGGTCTTTAACATAGGCTATCCAAAAAGAGCTGCAAGTCTATTCAGTGCCTTCCTGGCCCTGCCATTATAATTTAGTGCACGCTGACTGCAGCGACCCCGTACCGCCTGACAACTGTAGCCCAATACAATAAAAATACAACATGTTCTCCTCGTTTGCACCAAGGTTGGAAAGACATGCAATAAAAATTCAGCACATTTTGTGCTCATTTGGCAGGTTGTACTATAGTGATCATCTTGGAGCTAAAACAGATGAGCTCCACATGATGTTTGACTGTACCATTTCTAAAGGGGGGAAAGAGAGATTGAGCAATGCTTCTGCGCTTTTAGCATGCACATTCCCCTCAACACATAAAAACCAATGCATTATGTTGGCCCAGAATTTTCTACTCAACATGCTAGCTAAGGGTTACTATTCAAACTCTAACTCCCTTCCCATACTTGCCAAAAATATGGCACCACCCATATGTGAAGCTTCTCTCCTTCTGATTTAACTTTCAGACAATAACACTGTGGGGCCATAGTTATTTTACGATTGGAGGCCTCCCACCACCGCCAAAAACTCTTTAGACAAATCATAAAATTCTCTTCTCGACTGCTGGTACTGCACTGCTCAATGCTTACAGAACCAGATTATATTACTAAGTAGATATTCAAGATGCTAAACAAATATCTAGCTACCTGCTAACAAACGTACCAAAGTCTAACAGCTCTCCCCCCCCCCACTCAAAAAAAGTCACCCATTCCAAATTTCTATCTCCAGTAGGAAAAAATATTCCCTCCACCTATATATGGCAAGAAAGGCAACCTATGGAATATATCTGATTACCATAGAGGACTTCATCGAAATACTTAATACAAGCTGGTCATGAGCTGGTGACTCCAACCCATTCTGAGATATAAACTTTACTTTACTACCAACCCATCTTCCATTTGTGTCTTTCTGAATGTAGTTATATACTTCCAGGCCAAGGCATCAACAATTTTTATTTTCTGATTATGCTTACATGGACCTAGTGATATTCTGTAATGAATGTAATAATGAATATTCCATTCATTACAAGTACTACAGTATTTCATAGCAGGTTTTTTTAATGTTCTCTAAAACTTCTAATTTTCCCACAGGTCATCTGGAAATTAAGATGATTCACCTGTCCCTCTGTATCACAAGCCACTGAAGAATGCCATCACAACTGACACAGAAGTGTGAGAAAAAAATAGAAATATGCAAAAGATTTCAACTCTGAAAATTTAGAGCTTGAAAGGGACTCTTCCGACTTCACAAGAAGTATTCCAACAAGTATTCCAAACTTCCAAGAAGTGTTTAGAGCTTGCAAGAATCCACTTTCAAAAACCACCCTCCAGTAGGGTGAAAAGCTGTGTAGTCAGAACAGCCCATTTTGGACACTTGTTTCCACTTTCCAAACATTTTGTACATCTCTAACAATAAACCATAATAGAAGGAAATCACAGATCACACTAACATTCCCATTCCAGGAGACATACTTCGCCTTTCAGAGTAGCATTCCACGAAGTTAATACATAGATTGGAATAAAAAACTTTAATTTCATATTCATTTCTCCCATTTGCCCCAGACAGTACATCCCTGAAATAAGATCACCTCCCCAACCCTACCTTATGCCTAAATGGGATAAAGTACTTACTGTCCAACCTCATGGAGAATGGGTGCCGGACAGAGCATGAAATTAGATTCTACTTTTTGGGGGGTTTCAACTAAAAAACAAAACAAAAACATGATCAAAACACCATGCATTGTAATATCAGATAGAAACAGATCCATAAGGATGGGATAATCCATCCCCTTCAAGTAGGGAAAGAAATGTTCATTGCTTCCTGCAGCTCCCACAGATGGAGGGTGGGGGTTTACTACTTTACTACTATTAGGAGGTAAAGACCTCCTCCCTGCTACCCTTCACCAGCAGAATCAGGTACAGAAAAAACTCTTCTATTTGTAGAAGGGTTACTTAAGGTATATTTATTCCGAAGTAGATCCCTTTAATTTGGACAGAATGTACTCCAGTTTAAGGTCAGGGATTAGATTCATACATTGAGATAACCTGAATTGACATTTGCCTTGTTTTGGCTTAGCATAATTGGTACACCCTCGCCAAAAGACCCAACAGGTAGCACCTTGCTTACAGGTAACTGCAGCCCCTGTACCCCTTTTTTGGCTGCCAAGCACCCCAAGATTGCTTTGTTGAAATCTGTGGCAAATGGCCACATTTAGAGCAGAAGAGGATTGTGGGGGAATGGTTTCCCCCCAATTCCTTCAAACCAAGGATTATTTCTGTCTCAAAGAAAAGCCTCTCTTGAGTATGATTCCTGGTGATTTCATGGAGACACCCATATCGTTTTCTTGGAAGAAAATATGTGTCAGTCCTAACACTACCTTTACTGTAAGGTTACAGTATCAGAATCTTGCAAGTCTGAAAGTACTTCTCCCCTCCCTTATTTTTACTCTCCTGAAAACCAAGATGGGTCCTTTCTGAGACACTTTCTTCACCCCCACTCCTCCTGCGGATTCAGATTTCGTTTATCAGACCATTGTCTAGACTGCAGCTCTTCCTCCTGTCTCCCAAGGTCATTCCCACATACCATTACAAATTAGAATGGTAACCTTTTCCTTTTCCTTGGTTCTCTGTTAAGTCCCCAAAGTTTGCTGAGGATATTGGAGGCATGATAATTTGTATGGAAGGAAGATAGTTATGATTGCCCTGTCTCCCTTTTCATATAAATTATTGTGCCTCCAATGTTATGATCTTCCTGTCTCCCTTTTACCCAAATTCTCATACTTCCAACGTTCTCAGCAAGCTTGAAGAACAAAGCAGAGAGGTTTAAGAGTTTATAATCTCATGACTCAACTGCACATCTCTATGCTGTATGGATACTTACTAATGGTTGTTCCATTTACCATGTAAGTGCAGACGACGCTGTCTTGTGTCCTTCCCAATGTGAATCCTGTTCCACTTAGAACAACTTGAAACTCCTCTGAAAAGCAGAACCAGGCAGTCATCAAAAAGTACATCCATGCCAGAAGAATACAAAAGTATCCTCACTGAGTTTTGAGAGCAGCATTAATCCTTAATATTTTATACTCAGTGCAGGTTGATATTTATAGTTATGCCTATGATTTTAGAAAGGCAACAGGACACACAAAGAAATTCTTGTCCTAGTAAAGCAGCTGGAGAAGGAGGGAGAGTGGGAGGTCAGTTGAAATATATCCCAAATGATCATTCTTTTCACCAAATTTCTCAGTGAATTTTGAAAGGGTGTATTTTGGATCAGAGATGCATTTATCCAAACCATCATCTTCTTAATGCCTCTCTCTCTCCGTTGTTTAAACTGTAAAACAAGAAAAACACTATCGGCAGCCCTCTACAGTCCTTCCAATAGTTGTCATTAAATTATAGCTTTTAATGTGAGGGAAAGGGTAAATTATTAACTCTACGGGGAGTAATTATTAAATATAAGGGGATTAATCATATGGACTGATTTTAATTTAAAATAAATTAAATCAAGTTTACTGTTTTCCCTGGCTTTACCACAAAAGCCAAGTACAGACTTTGGCCTAAAAAAGTAGTCCACCCATGAGGTAAAATATGCTGCCTCTGAAAATACTCTCCTGCCAGACTTCGCGTTGGCAGGCTTGAAAGAAATTTTCCACCGCTAGGACTAAACCTTTACTGTAAGTCATGAACAATATACTTTACAGCTGGCAGTCTCTGACAGTTAAGGCTGATTCCTAAAATTCTCTGAATTTAAATCCAATGCCTTTATTCCCCCTTCTTTACCTTGTAACAGTAAACTGGCTTTTTATTTCCCACACTCACTTGCGAATGGGAGCTGCCTGTTTACATTCTCCACCTTCCTACCCCAGGAAATTCTAGCTACTGATGAAATGCTAACACCTCTAAAGCTTAAACTTAGGAGTTCTGTGTGTCTCCATTTTTTTTGCTCCTCCCACTCACCCAAATGAGAGAGGCCAAAGACAGTCTCAAAGGGATGTGAGAAGGAGAACATGACAGCAATCATAGCTCTTGCTGTGACTGCTGTGGTTTTCATTTTAAACATGGAAAGAGGAATGGGAGAAGAAGAGGAAAATCCATGCTCTCAAATACAAAGAATTGTATGACTTAAAATAAATCTAACAAAGAACCTGGCTCTGAAATATACAATTCCAGAACCAAATGGAACAAGTCACATTAGTCACTCACTCCATCATCAACACCCAGCCCAATCGAGAAGTTGTAAAATCAGGTTCATAAATTAGGAACAGCTGTTCCAGCCCTTTCATTTCTTTTTCTGCAAGAATCCTTGTATTTCTATTCTTGGTCAGGAAACATCACTAATTGTCCACAAAAAGGACGACAATAATTTCTAGCAGTTATTGCTAAGCATCACGGTGAATAAAAGCTATTTTGCTAAAGACCAAAACTCATTTCTCTTAGTCAAAAAGAATTTGTATTTAAGATTTTCTGATACATTTTCAAAATATTTAATGAGGCAATCTTTTTCAACAGTGAACAGTACAGTTCAAGAATAAAATCCCTCCTGCAAATTTACCAACATCCTCTTCCTCCTGGTAATTTATAAGTTGGAAATCTACATATTTTAGCATACTGCCAATCAGAAGCATATTCATTCACACAATGAGAAGCCCAGATTTCAGCTCATTTCTCCTCCATCCCACTTTATACCTTGCTCAGGTCTCACTGCTTAGAGAAGAAACTGCTCCTTGTGAGCTGAAGTCTCTCCGCATTTCGCAGAACCCATCACACTTAATGGCAAATAATTCAATGGGAAATGCAAGCTGAGGCAGAAGTTTGCTGAGTGACAATGGGAAGTCATTACACTTTGGTGCAGCCTTTGCCAACTTGGTGTGCTTGCCAGCTGTGTGGGCTTCAGGTCCCAGCATTCTCAGCAATGGCCATGCTGGCTGGAAATGCTGGGAATTGTGAACATGTAGATTGTTCCTCCATTGGAGGAGGGTACTTTAGCCTAACTCTATTTCACAGAATTATTGTGGAGATGACCTAAGGCATCTGTTGATTACAATCCAGAACATTCTAGGAGTTGAAAAAGCACCGTATCTCCCCAAGTTGTGGCATACCATATACGCAAAACAATAACAAAATTACGCATTTAAAAAAAACATATATGCAATACAATAATCTAAATATGCATTCCTTTTAAATCTACAACTTCCAAGGTTCTTGGAGAGGAAACCATAAGAATTTAAATCTGTAACACAGACTTTAGCAAACTGGAGCAAGGAAGGGAAAGTTCCTTTTATTCACATCTTCCTACTCAGCATATGGAACTACAGTTACACATTTTGCCCAAGGATGTAACAGCAGGATTGTCAATATTTTCACATTGTTTTCCAGTCGCACACTCACCTCCTACACAAACGCTTGAGGGTTCCAGATTTAAAATTTCTGTGCATGATTGCTTCAGTATCTGTTTGGGGTAAAATGGGAAAATATTTTTGACAAATATATATTACAAGTTTTTCAAGGCAACATAATTCAGTTACGAGGAATTATTTTAGCAAGATGCTGTGAAGTGTGATACCTGTCTAGGTAGAGGTTATTACAGAAGGCCCTCATTTGAAAAACAAATTCACAGACATTATGGATTAGCAAACCCAGACATTTATGCAGACTGCAACTGTGTTTTGCCTGGAATGAACCTCTCTGAATCGTGACTCCCGTGATTCAGAATGAATTTGTGGTCCAATTCACCTCACTAACACCCCAACCATAAACTCCTCAAAGTCACCAGCATAACGCAAGGTGGAAACAATGGCCTTTTTTTTTTCTTTTAAAATTCCTTTAATAATGTGAAAAGACTCGGCTCACTTTTAGAATATGGGCTCTGGGCTTTCATATCCATAACAAGACACAAGCTAAATTGTACTGATTCACTGGAGGGGGGAACTTGAAAAATTTGCACTGCTGATCTTCCCCGGTATTATTGTCAGACTGACTAGATTGGAAAAAGATGATTCAGAAAGCTAAGAAGATCACGGTAACATTTGACCTTATCATATATATGGTGCCTCACTAATTTTCTAAGAGTTATCAAAGATCATACATAAAAATTTTGGCAAAACCATCACCAAGGTCCTTTAGTACTCTACAATGCAATCCACCTGGCTCCAAGATTTGAACTGACCCAAGGAAAGCATTTCCAGATTCTATCCTTCTCAATATCTCAAGTGTTGAACTTTATTTTCCAACATCCCCACCATTTGGTATGAAAACAGGAGTTGCTGGGCATTGTAGTAATTCCGCAATGGCTCCTCTGCTTTAAGTGACATGCCAGCTGACACAAGGATCATAATGCTGCAGATAAGTATACCATAATAAAAGCTATTATGATAAGCAGGAGATTGCAAGAAATGAATTTCCAATGAAGATAAATGGTTTTGTTCATATGTGGCAGGGCTGTATACATATCTATTATTCTCTGGTCTCCACTTGCACATACAAATGGATGGGTAGAGCTATGCTGGTTTAATCTACATTTAAAGTCACCAGGAATAAGAAGTCAGATTAGTGGCATCCTTAAATACAATCCCCATATAAATAAATAAATAAATAAATAAATACATACATACATACATACATACATACAGTATATACATACATACATACAGTATATTTGAAACTGACTTTAATCTATGACTTAACCCATGACCCAACCAAACAAGCAGAAGTTGAAGTTAGAGCATTAGAGTTACTCTGTATTCTCACAATCCTTGCTCCATATT